TTAACCTATGAAACTTTTCAACAGCTCTCTCACTAAGTAATTAACAACACCAAGTTAGCTGTGGAGCTCCTGCAGCCAAGCAGTGTGCCAGCTAGACCCACCTCTAGCTTGAGGGTCACTGGCGTGAGAAAAAAATCTTTTTATTGACCAGTTTTTTCACTATTGTCTGCTGCTAATTATCTTGAACTTAGAAGCCTGTGGTACTGGCCACTGATAGACCACTGGACTAAACAGATATCAGTCTCACATGATCTTATTTATTGAAAAGGCAGATACACAAGATCCTTACTCTTTCTCTATAGATACACAAAGTGTGTGTGTCTATATATATACTGTATATATAATGTGAATATTTGAAGACATTTCTAAGCTGTGATTGTTGTGTACATTTTGTTCAACTCACAATAATTTTATAATTGTGATTGTAGTTCATGTGAATGACAGGAAAGTTGTAACTAGAGGTCAATATTTTGGAAGCACTTAGGCACTTCTGGAAGGTGGTCGGGGTGGTTTATGCTTTGAGACTTATTTTTCATTCATTTTTACTAAAACGATGGAATTATTGGGACCGCATTTTCTGAGGCCATTTGGGTATGGCCTTTGTATTGTTTTTCTACAAGAATAGGAGGGGTCTAACTATTATTTAGTAACATTAATGTTAAAATAATTTTGTATTATTATTGAAAGCTACAACCATTCAAGTACAGATTGCTGATTGCATATCTTTATTATGATATTATTATGAATACCTTAAAGCAGATAATTTTTCAGATAGTACCCTCCATGGCCTGTTAAAATATTTTAGCAGCCAAAGATTTAAGTTACTATCAAGTCCTTATACTTTTAAGTGATCCTACACAAACAGAATATTATGTTATTACTGATGATACAGGAAGGACATGGAGTTGAGGCGTATCCTCAGGCTCCTCTTTATCCCAGGAAGTTCTGCAGTTCTGTTCTATAGCATTTGACTGCTTGCCACATTTTGTATTTTCTTTCCCAGTTTTGAAATTCCACATGTGCAACCTACAAGTTTTTGAATAAAAAGAAACTGTCAAAACTCCTTTGCAAGCCTACCACTGATCATCCTTAAAAGTTAGACCAGATTCTTCCATGGCAGCTGAGTGTATTGCCTTCCCTAAATTTTGCTTACCACCCTAAGCGGGAGTCAAATAAAAATAGATACTCAAGCAAAAGTGCAGATTATTAGCTGGAAAGCCACTATGGCAGGTCCATGGCTTGTAAATATGCTTTAGTAACTCTGGGACAAAATTTATTAAAAGCATTTTTTTTTATTCTGCACTCTAGAGACAAAAAGGAGAAAAAAAGAAAGAAACCAAAGGTGGAAAAATACATTTATACACTTATATCAGCCAGTCTTGAACTTGAATTAAAGTCAGATCCATCACACAGCCAAATACTGCAGTTCAGGTTACTTTCAAAGGCTACTACAGGTAAGTAGTCAAAGGAATAGATATGAAAGCACGTCTTATATTTTGGTGCTTTTAAGTATGTGTTAATTTGACAAATTATGAGTAGTATAATGTATAGTGTTCACAAAAGTGCCTGAGAATTACTGAAGAGAATTATTGTCCCAAAATAATGGTGTTAATCAAACAAAATATTTGATGTTAAAACAAGCTGATGACTGCATTTCTGAGAAGTTACATGTGAGCTATGTACAGGGCTTGCCCTTATATGAGACTTCATACAGGGGCTGTATTCATTCATGTTTAACACTTCAAAATTATTTTTCTCTTTTGCAACTAAGATACTTCAACATTTCTGTTCCAGCTGCTTAGTTAAAAGTGACTGAATAGCTTTGCATTTATTCACTCATTACTGAGAGCATAACAGCATAACTGCACCTGGGGCAGGATTCCCAGACAAACAGATTATTTAGAAATGTCAGGGCTTTTCAAGTTACATTTTTAAATGTAATTTCTGAAATGAACTTTCAGTGATTATTCACTAAAAGTTGTACTAATAATTTAAATTGAAACAAGTGCCAGGCTGGCATTGTTATAAATTACTTTTGTCAAAGCAGTCTATTTGTTGTTGTTGTCTTTTAAATGACCACTTCTGATTTTCAGATCTGGCAGTTGACTATTCAGTGGGATCTAGTGAGGCAGAGGAAAGGAGGTAGAGAGATTTTGTATACACAGTTATGTATACATTTGCTATACATAGTATGTATCGCATATATACATTTTATATAGATTTGTGGTGAAAGATCATTTTTTTAAATGAAATTTTCATGTATAAAAATTCAGGTGTGTGGGGGAGTGTTTGCTCCATATAGATGGTTTGATGTATTTATAGTATCAGTGTATATTTATGCATATTGCATAGTTATTTGTTTCTGCCCTGTTGTTCCACTGATAGATTTAAAAAGTGCTGAGGAATTCATAAGAACATGATTCAAACTCTGCTTCAGTAAATCAAAGACTCTGACTGGTTTAAATGAATTTGAATCACTATACAGGCAATCCTGTACATTGATTAAAGAAGAATATGAGCCATATATGAGCTTTATTCATAAATGAATACTTACTATGACTTTGTGTGGCATGATCATCTCTACAAACAAAACTTTTATTTTCTGGATTTTTTTTTTAGTATGAGGGTTGATAATTGAACTGTTTGAATCAGTGACACAAGATTTCTCTATCCTACACCTATGAGAAGGCTGCCTTAGTATAGAAGAATACATTATGTATAGTCATTGTGCCAGTGGGTACCTCACAGAAGATTGCAATCAATATAAGGGCACTACCACAAAAAAGCAGGACTGAGGGTTCTCTAGTAATATGACATTAATCTAACCATCTTTGGGAACATCAGCACAGAAAAATTACTTTTTCTAAGACTACGCTGTTATAAATCTTATCAGAGAATCAAATCTCTGAAACAGCTCAGGTTCAAAACTGCATTTTATACACCCTTTTCTGTTGGAATTACACTGCTGGTATTAAGGACTGTGTTTCCTATTTTTTATGAGGTTGAAACAATTTGTTATGTAGATTAGAATTTTTTTATTTTTCCAGGAGAAACAGATGCAAGAAGTATAACCCACCCTTAACTAGGATGTTACTAGATGATGATTGCATTTGGACTGTGATATAAAGACTTTCTAAAGAAACCTTCCAAAGAAAAATTTTTAAGATTAAAAATAATAAATAAAAGAAATGCAGCACGTAAGCAAAGGAAAGTCCTATCCAAGGACTGGTTTCATTTTCAAAACACAATACGGTTGCAAAACAATGTTCCTAAGCAGTTTAAAATCAAGACACCAGCTTCTGTTCATTCATGGACCAAGCAACATAATCCTATGAAAGCAAAACCAATGCTTTAGAGACAATGAACATTTTTATTAAAAATATATTCCTTCTTAAGTTCTGAAAGTTTCAAAATGTAAATATTAAAAGCAAAGGGAGAACAACTTTTTTTTTCTTATAAAACTGTGGTATATGTTCACACCCTCAAAGTCTCTTGGAAATGAAGGGGGGATTTGCTTGAACAGGGTGACCAGGAGTGTCCCTGTGTGTTTTACAAAAACAAACAAGGAAAGTAATGCAGCTGCATTTGCAAGCTGGGGGAACATCTCTTTCACTTAATTTACAGAGATTATTATTTACATACAGAATACATGCATCCTCTGAAAATGTATTTGTGTTTGCTGTTATTAGCCAAATTCAGGAATTTGGTATTTATATCTGTCAAGCACGCAGCAAGTTTAACTGAAATAAACAGGACTACTCACAAATGGACACAAATGCCTAGGGATCGTGGTTTAAGTATGCTAATTTAAATAGAGATATCTGTATGATGTTAGAGATAAGGGATATCAGTTGTAGGCAGTTGTCACCATTACTGCTGCTTTGCGTAGCTGTGGTTCAGTAGCGGCCATGAGGCTGGATAGGTGCTGGCTGCCCTGGAGTCCTCGCTTCCAAAACAAAGTATGTGACCAGTGGGACAGAGAATGGGGCTGTCTCCAGCCACTACTGAAGAGGTACTTAAAGAAAGTACAGGAGCTACCGGATAGCAAAATATTCATTGTCTCTTATACTCCTTTTTCTTGTTTTGAGGAATAATGTTTGTTCATTAAATCCCACATGACTGAACAAAGCTGGTAGCTTGATTTTAAATTAGTTGGGAACTGTAGTGGTCTGTAACCCAAGGCTATAAGTCAATATATTGCACACACTTGCTGACATTGCTCAGCATTTCTACATCTTGCTTTCCACAGACACAATACTCCTCAAACTGACATGCAGGACAAAATAATATGCTGCCTGAAGCACATTATTCACTCAGTACTGTTGCCCATGGACCAGGCGATGTTGGAGCCACTGCTCTAATAATTCTTCCCAGAATGGCCAAAGGAATCCTAGGTAAGCAGATGTAAATCTGCACATGCCCAGGAATCCTGTCTAAGGAAAAAACTTTGAGCTATGCTGTTTTACATAAGCATAGTACATTTTACGCGCATAAAAGAAATGAACATGATGCCAAAAGTGCGTGGTAGTATTTAAGGAATAAGACAGTATAAAGATCATCAGCAAGTTCAGCATACACCAGTTAGGGGTGCAGTCAGTGTCTGTGCTCTCTTATTTACACATTCCTCTCTTCCCATGGGTTTTTAAAGGAAACAGCACATTTAAAACTAAATGCCCTGCTGAATGTATACAGACAACTGTTTTTAAATTTAATTATTTTAAGAAAAAGTCTTTAAAAGGGTTATTCAATAATCAGTGTGGTTTTGTTGGTCCGTTCTGCTTCTTGCCTGGAGGAACTTACTACACAGGAGCTGTTTGAAGCGTAGGTCAGAATAAACTGGGCTGAAGATGCCTCATAAACTGACGCTTTGTACGTATTCATTATCTTTACCAGTAGGTGGAGCTGCCACGTTAGGTGCTGCATTTTTTTCACTTCTTCTCCCCCTCCGTTCCCCCACCCTTCACCCCCCCTCTCCTAATAAGCTGTTTTCTGATATATGTTGGGTACCATAGAGTGAGACTGAGAACAGGAAGCGGAGGCAGAATCAGAGAGGATTCTGGAAAGGTCTCTGTGTTTTCTTTTCCACTGAGAATACAGAAATGATAATTAATTTGTAAAGCATTGTGGTTGGAAATCTGGACTATTTCAGGAGGAGACATATATTATCATATTATTTTTGGATGCTGGGCTTTGCAGTGATTTGTCATTCTCTTTCAATCAGGTAAGCTGGCAAAACATTTAATTGTACCCATAATAAATCTTAGCAATATGATCTTTTCCACATTTCAGAATCGGATTGTACCCTCTGGTTTGCTGTTAAGGTAGAGTCAAAGATGGAATGGGGAATTCAAAGCCATTTTGTACTGACTGATTGTGATGATGGTGTGATTTTTTCATTTTAACCTCGTTAAATCTGATATCTGGCCTCTTAGTCTTAATGTGATGTTGCAATGCAGTAGTCTTACTTGCAAAATCAGATCATTTTATAATCAAGGTATACTAAATTAATTCCTAGCATTTTATAGAAGTGACCTTGTTTCCTAAGAAGAAAAATCTGGTGATATGCAGGCTCAGGAACACCAGGTCTCACAAGATTCTCAGCATCTCAGATTCTGATGATCCAGGAATAAAATCTATGTGGTTAGTTACTGCTATTTTCAATATATATATGTATGGTATTTGAAGAGATTCCCTTATTAGCTAGATTTTGTAAAAGATATGTAAGGAAATATTTTCTCTCTGTGCCATTTTTTGCATGGTTGTGTGTCTGTGTGCATGAGAGAAAGGGCTCACCAACTGTTAATTAACCAGAGGTCCACACCGATGATACAGTTCACATTTTGTCTATGACATTACTGTCTAGCTTAATATGTGCTTCTTAATAGGACTGTTTGAAGAAATCAGCACAAGAATTATTATATTTCATGTTATTCTCCATTTATCTATTGTCTCATTCATTGTTATTAGTAATAATTAAAGCAGTCAGTTATTAAAGGTAAAAGGAAAATATCTATTGAAGATCACTTTGATACGTGAATTCTTTTTTCAGTAGTGGTTCTACAGACACATGTTCATATTAAAACTATATATGCTATCATAGTATTAATTTGGAAATTATTTCCAAGAGAAAACAGTAGAAATAAAAAAATGCCAAAACCCCATACAACAGAATAAGAAGCCCACTGTTTCATATCACCATCTCAATCCATATACGAAAAAGAAAGCAGGACTGGGTCTCAGGTGGTACTCAGAGTAGCAAGTGAGGCCTGTACCTGAAGTAGTGATATGAAAGAATGAAGTTTTTAATTTGTATTTTTTATGGTGCCAAATCAATGCGCCTGTGGCATCCTTGTGTAACTTCAAAATAAACGAACAATAATAATGATGATGTTTGTTTTAAAAACATATCACGTTTGTGGTTTCATAACTGATTTGTCAAGAAAACAGTTGCAGAAGAAGACTTTTTAACTCTAACAGTTTAATATTTAATTTTTGCTCTTTTACACATCTCCATTTTGGGAGAAAAGATTGTTCAAGACTAAAATGTGAGCTGCTGAAGTAATTCGAAGCTTCATAGCACCTGTTAAACAGACATGTTGTTTGTTAGGCCTTGATATTTATAGAAATTGTGCTTGTGTTGTTAGCTTATGATTTTTCCCTCTAATGAGCAGAAGTTAAGTGCCCATACTGATTTTCTTAGCTGTGCCAATTAAGCTCAGTATTGTAAAGTTCTCTTTAGATAATACTAGATGCTAGCAGAGGTAGAGACTTTCCCGTTTTCGTTGGAGAACATGAAACAATTCCCTTGTGCCCTCTCAGATTCTGTCAGAGTGAGAATTTGGTCATTTCCCTTTATTGTCAGGTAACTTGGAGTGGGGAGGGATCAAGGGAAAGGAGAAAGTATAGAAAGTATGGGGTTTTTAATCAATATGCTGATGACACATTTTGTGTTTTCACCTCTTTTTCTTCATTAGATAGTATTAGATAAGTTAACTTGTACCTTATGAAGATGAGGAGTGGAGATAAATTTATTTGCCCTGAGAAGACTAAGGATTTTAGAAGCAAAAAGGATGGTGGGATGTAAGATGGAACTTTCTGACTGATGGTATCCATTTTCTTCTGCTGCTGACATTCTCAGCCCTGTATAATATGCTATGTGTATGCTATGTATTAATTACATTGCTGGAGTTCCACAACTTTTGGTGGATCAGAGAATAGTAGATGCTAAGAGAGTTCTTTGTAAAAGGCAAGAAAGTTGTGACCTTGTTCTCAAAAGTGCAAATCCTGGCCCTTTTTACCCATATGCTGTTCTTGCCATAAGGTGACAAATGAAAAAATTGCTTGAATTCTGCTCGAGTTAAACTTAAGGGAAAATAAATGCAAGTTTCTGATATTTGGTACTGTATTTGTTAAGATGATCTATTTGTTGACCTCTGAAAATGACTGTTGACAGTAAGTTCAGGAAGTTACAGTTACTCTGTTCTTTATCAGAAAATTCTAGTTAGAATTTAGAAACTTGACTTTCAAAAGTCTAATTATCTTAATTGCCACACAGTGTAACTCTTCTATATTTTTTTACCTTATTGCTGTTAATCAGTAATATATACTGTTGCCATTTGCAGGAAATATTGTTTTTTCATCCTCACTTGAACAAATAAAAGGTTTAAAATATTGTAATAAAATTGATGCTCACTAGTCCAGACTGTTTACAGAACAAATGTACACAGTCTGAGCTGTGGCTTCAGTAAGCCCATCAAATCAAGTGTCAACCACCATAAAATCCATCTATAGGAAACTGCATCCTCCGCAGTGGAAAGCTGCTGTTACTCAATACAGCTACCACTCCTGATTAAAAGCTCTGAAGCACATTGCCAATGGCATCTGTCTCTAAGGTTGGTATTGATTGCCCTCCCATAGGACCTTGATATGGGAGCTGGTATCTTACAACCAGTTCATCTGCTTTCATCAAAATTTTCTTTATGGACAACTGCAATCCGTAGTATATTATTGCGACAATGTTATTGCTTGAGTTTCCTTGTCTTATGACAAGGTAAAGCAGAGGGACTGGGGATAAGAGCAGTTCAGGCAGGGACTGTATTACTTCAAAATATAAATATAGAGTAGGAGCACCATATGCTCTTGAGTAACCATAATGTGTGCGTACTGTCACTGCAATCCTAAACAGGAGTAACAAAGTTAAATTCTAGGTCACAAGAGTATCTGGTCTCTCATTTTTTCATTACCCATCCCAAAATGATTTATGTTAAAAAAAAAAAAAAGAACCAAACCAAAAGCACCAGCCAACCCACCCCAAAACTGCCATTTCAAATTGTTGCTAAACTTTAAAATGGTCACCAGTCTTGGTAAGGTCTTCCTACAAAAAACTACTGTTCAGTTACTCTACCAACTAAGACAGATCATGGGATGTGTTTTACAGTAAAAAATGCAACAAAAAAGTTAAAAATTAATTAAAGAGCTTAAGCTTTTATGAGGCTCTTTCACATGTAAAAACATTAAGGAAAAGGTTATTTATGCTCAGATTAATTATTTGTCTAGTCATTCATTCTTCATTGTTATTGATTGCTTCTTACTGAGTAGTTTTACTTAGGCAAGTTTAATCATAGAGCTACCATGTGCACAGGTCCCTTTTTCAACCTGGAATTGTTTTTCCTGCTACTTCTCTGGATTCCTGACTTGATCCACCAACTTGATGGATGTCATATATCCTTATCAAATGATCACATTTTGAATATGTATATATTGACTGTGTAGTCCATATGCAGTGAGTCTGGCAGATCCCAGATATATTGATTGCATACATGCTGTACTGTTGAGCTACCTGCTCAGCAAAGCTGATGTGTTTCACATGTGTTGAAGTTACTACACATGTATATATGTATGTATATGTATATGTGTATGTATGTATATATGTATGTATATGTATATATATATATGTATACATCAGCTGAAGAGCACATGCAGCTGACCTGCACTGCATCAGGCACATCCTCATATTCCTTTCTTTGTAGGATTTCCTGAATGAAAGTATGAGGGACCCTAGTAAATCTGAAAGGATATCACAGATGCCAATATGGAAAATGGCTTGGAAGAGTATCAGTACTACTGGCTCTGTGATACCCTTTACTATGCTCTAGTATAACCACTTAACAGGAAGATCTTTGGATAGAGAGACATAGCAGGCAATTTCCATTTGTTGATGATTTATGCTTAAATTAGACATTGCTTATTTAATATTAGGCTCTCCTTTTTGGTATGAGAGGGGAGCAATGTTTCTGGTCTTTTAGCATAATTTATTTTAAGAATGAAGGAATGAAGAAGCCCTATACATTTTATAAAAGTTAACCTAACTTCATAGTCAAAGACAGAGATTTTTAACCACAGATAAATTGTTCTTATTTAAACAGATACTTGAGTGTGTTCTCCATTGAAAGGCACTCTTTAGATGAAAAGAATTCCCTAAAGCTAAACTGTGTCCAAAAATTCAAGTTTTCTGTGATAACTTTTATGTTACACAGAGAGAGCACTTTTAAATGATGAGTGAAGACATATGCCTAACTTGCACTCTTACACCCATCAAGGAGCAAAGCAAATTACACTCATCACAAACAGCTTTGAATCTTTTTTTTTTAAATTCTGTTTCACTTTATTTTAACTTAAAGCCCAATCAACTGCAAAACTTGTGTACGACAGATGAAAGCAAAAGCACTAGGGTTTACAGTAAGAAAGGCAATCCATTTATAACGTTATTTTAGGTCTAAATTAAATAAACTTGATGGCAGAAATAAGTAGTTAATCTCAAAAGGGCCCAAGAGTCCAAGGTCAGATTGAACTGAAAGAATGGAGAGGGCAATCCTAATGTTTACCTTCATTCAGATGAAATGTCTGAAGAAAAAACCTGTCACTAATATTTAAGGCCAAAATGTTCATATGAAGAAGTCTGACCTGAGACAGAAGTTCAGACCAAAATCAATATTAAAAAAATTCAACCTGTGTTAGGAAGGAATTTCTTCCTACCGAGTGAAGCTGTAACTGAGTATTAAAGGAGTCTTCCTGAGAGGTTTTACTAACACCAGTTTAAGTTACTTGCCATGTTTTTCCTGCATATCAAGTTGCTTTAGTTTGTGTTATAATAGGAAGAATACTGGAACAGGAAGAATTCTGGTAGCTGCTATAACACTAGCTATCATTCTGTAGTGTATA